TATATATATATTTATAAATTTTCTTTTTTTTAGTGACATTAGACTATATTATTTTTCCTTCTTCCTCTTGATATTTTTATTTATTTTCAAGGTTTTTTTTTCCTAAATTTAAATCTTATTAAATCTCATAATTCTCTTTTTGTTTAATTGGACAAGATATGAATTCTACAAATCTTCCCTTTGTTCTAACTATAAGAGAGTTTGACTTTATTTCTATATATATTTATGCTCAAAATATAAATTGATATTGACTATAAATTTTCACCTAACTTCCGTTCTTGAATTTTCCGCATTTCATATTTAAAGTGATTGAATTAAAATTTTATTTCGTGAATTGAAAGTGATATTAAGACCTCACAATGAAGAAATTTTATGATATGATCTGTCATAAATTAACAGCATACTTGCCAAAACCTTACGAAACAATAATTAATGACATTGCATTTAATGAAAAGCATTTTGTGCACTACAGAAAATGTATTAAAAAGCATATGACAATTTAGCTTCTCGAGTTTTAGGTACAAAATAAACTAACATAGACATCTGTGTTCCTACATTATCATATTTGATGACAATTAAAACTGCACAAATTACCATAATACTGGTAGTGTATATTACCAGAATTAATTAATCATCATTAAACATCACGATGAATTAAATACCACTAGATAGTGCGTTTTCTTAAGAACTTTTTATCCATTAATTTAGCTCCTTAATTTACTACTCTTTTCGTATAACAATGTTAATACGAATGTTTCAGCTTCGGCGTAATGCAAATTGTAACACTTGTATACAATTAATTAACAAAGTACTTTATTAATTTGTAATACAGAATCATGTTATACTTATTCATTCCATTGCAGTGATTTAAGTTTCGAATATTGCTTTATAGTACTTAAATACTTACCATTTTGCTTCTAATTTCTATATCCAAAAGGAGAACTATAAAAAAGAACTCTAGAAATTAATTTAACTTTAATTTCATTGCATATTTATTTTCAAGACAATTTTATAGAAGAACAATTTGCCTCTTGATTTCTTTAGCAATATATTTGGTCATAAATATTTTTCAGAATCCTATTTTTCACATTTTTTAGTATTCTGAAAATAAAAATATTTATGCATTAGGAATATTTTAAAATTTCTACTTAAACTATTACAGACTTGCTTCAATTTATTCTTAGATTTAACGTTTACAAGTATAATAATACTTACTTCTAAATCGCACTTCAATCCATCTGCGCACGGGCAATTGCCTATATATGAATATGCGCGGTCATTATAGGGGAAAAAGCATTCTTGTCCTAAAATGTAAAATTATATTATTTAAATTTCTTTATCTAAATAAAATGTAGACACTCTTAAGACCATAGACAATTAACATTTTCTGATTTTGTTTTTCTTACGCCTCTGAAAAAAAAGCCTAACAAAACACACATATGGACAATTATCCTTAAATGCTACAAATTTTTGTCTTACAGCAAATTACAGCGTAATTTTTACAATAATATAACAATATTTATTTAATAACATTTACTTAGTAAATAATACTGTAATACAATATAGAGTTTTTTTCGCAAAGATTTACGATAAAAATACAGGCATGCTGATTGCCGGTACTTTTTCTCGTAAATTAATCTGGAATTTTTCCAGTATTAAACAATATTATTACAATATGTTTGCTTTTAATTTTAATTTATACTATTATTAATATTTTTTAATGATTTTGTCTCCTCCCAATTTCAACAATTATATGTATTTAATAAAGAATGTTTAAGCGTTTAAACATAAAAATGTCATTTTCCTGGCATGTAGCAACAATACTAGCAATGAATACATAATTTATTTGATTTACAACTTTTATATCAGGCCAAAGTTTTACAACTAAACTCATAAAAACGTTTCTAGAAAATTCTTGAGAAGAAAAGGGAAATATTAAGCTATAAAATTAAAAATATCATTATCTTGTAAAGTCATTATCCTTAGGATGTCAGTAGGGCCATTATTTTTTAAAGTTGTAAGTTTGATGGTGGCTTACTTGAATACTTTACCTCCGAAGCGTTCCATCTATTCAGCATTGTAAAAACTATTATTTAGACAAATTTGTTATTTTTAAAAATATATGTGAGTGATACCTAACCTTTTATTTTCATAGCTAAAAGTAATTTCAAAATAAAAGAATGGGTAATATTATAAATATAATCTTGGGTGTAAGTCTGTGTTAAACATTTACGAATAATTACAATTACGAAATAAATATTTCCCTAAAACAAGTTGAACTGCTATAATGAAATTAGTTTATATTCCTTTTCTACAATCCTTTTATGTTGCGTATGCTCAGAAAAGATCAAAATAATTTTATAGTAGGTATAAGAAGGTACGATGGGAAATTGGGGCATAAAGGAAATAGTAAATATGTATGTATAAGGTAAATATTTGAAAAGGTTTGTAAAGTGAGTGAATGTCGTAAAACTATTTTTCACAAATATTCCCAAGAAACTGGTGTGGTAAAATATTACCTGATTAAAAAAATAACTTCACTCGCTTTGAAAATATACAAATATGAAATAATGGTCGACATGTTTCAAGCGTTTCAAAAATAGGCGCCCATTTTCAAGACGTGAATGTAAAGAAAGAAAAACAATTTCAAAAAAGTTGCCAACGAAAAATAGAAGTGAGAAACAAAACTAGAAAAACCACTGAAGCCGAGGTAGAAAAAGATGGAAAACAGAAAGAAGAAAAATGAAAGAAAAAAAAGCAGCTCGCTCACTGATCACTGTGAATTTAACCTTTCTATAGCTGATTCAGCTCTTACTAAATTCACTACACCCCATTCATCCCTTTTCTTCCAATCTTTACAAAGAGCTTGTTATGTTACCGTTGTTTTCTACCGTTTGTTATAAAATTGCTAATATCTTCTCATGCGTAAGTTTTAAAATCATTTTCAGACCTGTTATCAAAATCAAATTTAGCACTCTCAAAGATCCTATTAGCTTTGATAACAGCTGAGACATTTGATACATTCTTTGCCAGTGTGGCCTTATCTACATTGGACAAACTAAACGCGCTTTAAAATTTGATTCTAAGGAACCAGATAAATATGTTCGTTATCAAGAATTCGAGAAATCTTCGGTTGCTTCACGTAGTTTGAATCTTAGTCGTAAATTCAATTTCGTTGATGCTAAAATTATTTATACATCTATGCAAATGTGACAAATAAACATAGTGCATTCCTTTATTGCGCTGAATTTACATTTCGCTCAAAATTTGCCCAATTTGGGCATTCCCAGAGGAGTCTTGCAGCTCACCCAATTTCAGATCGATGGTTATCAGTTGGTAAATGTATGCAATGCTAACCACATCACCATAATCAAACCGTTGTTCACAAAATTATGAAGTTACAACATTTATGATCTCTTGTCCCAAAACGAGCTGCTGCGGGAAGGCTTTCCTTCTTTTGCAGTCGGAAAAAACTACAAAACAACATTTAATTATTTTCTATCATTTATTATTTCTTCAGTCTGGTACAAATATAAACAATACCAATATTAAAGGATACACTGGAAGTGGTCCCTTTTATATATTTTTATTCAGTTGAAAATAAACGAATTTTACTTCACAAATAATTTAATTTTTTCCATAGTCACATTCCCTAATGGAATTTTCACGTTTATTTTATTTTTTAAAAAATTAACTTTTTTTTTCATGTTTTCTGTTATTAAAAAAAGTTATTGTTATAAAAACCAAATATTTAAATTTGAAAAGAGAATGAATGCTTTATTTTGCAGGAAAATTTGTTTAGATAATAAAGAGTAGATTCAATATCTCCCACAGTTTCAAGTTAATTATCATATTATGTATAATTAATAGCTATATGATTTAACAATATAGTTTTAGCTTAGTAACAAGATATTTGCTTATTTTTAATTTAATACTAATTATCTAATTATACATAATTTAATAATCATGTAATATTTTAGTTTTAACTTTAGGGATTTGTTCGATAAGATTAAACAAAATTTTTTAAAGAATATCCATCAGATATAGTTTAATTCATTTTTTCTATGATTTAAAAATGATTCTTGGAAAATTATTTACCCTCCGTGTGGAGTTTNATTCCGCTGAATTTACATTTCGTTCCTCAATTTGGGCATTCCCAGAGGAGTCTTGCAGCCCACCCAGTTTCAGATCGATGGTTATCAGTTGGTAACTGTGTGCAATGCTAACCACATCACCATAATCAAACCGTTGTTCACAAAATTATGAAGTTACAACATTTATGATCTCTTGTCCCAAAACGAGCTGCTGCGGGAAGGCTTTCCTTCTTTTGCAGTCGGAAAAACTACAAAAAAGCATTTGATTATTTTCTGTTATTTTTTATTTCTTCAGTCTGGTACAAATATAGACAATACCAATATTAAAGGATACACAAAATTTGGTCCCTTTTACATATTTATTCAGTTGAAAATAAACGAATTTTACTTCACAAATAATTTAAATTTTTCCATTGTCACATTCCCTAATGGAATTTTTTTAAAGTCCTATTTCACATTTATTTTATTTTTCAAAAAAGTAACTTTTTTATATTTTCTGCTATTAAAAAAAGTCATTGTTATAAAAACCAAATATTTAAATTTGAAAAGAGAAAGAATGTTTTATTTTGCAGGAAACTTTGTTTAGATAATAAAGAGTAGATTCAATATCTCCCACAGTTTCATGTTAATTATCATATTATATATAATTAATAGCTATATGATTTAACAATATAGTTTTAGCTTAGTAACAAGATATTTGCTTATTTTTAATTTAATACTAATTATCTAATTATACATAATTTAATAATCATGTAATATTTTAGTTTTAACTTTAGGGATTTGTTCGATAAGATTAAACAAAATTTTTTAAAGAATATCCATCAGATATAGTTTAATTCATTTTTTCTATGATTTAAAAATGATTCTTGGAAAATTATTTACCCTCCGTGTGGAGTTTTTTGCAATACGCTTTTCTAACAATTGTACTGGTATCTACAATTTGACAACATTCATCTTCTGCACATTCATCCGACCTTCCGCACCTCTTCATCTGTCCTTCAGCAATCTGAGAAACAAATATTATGTATAATATAGGAACATAAAGAATAACAGGCAACAAGAAAATAACAGGTTTCCAAAAAATTACACCACATTTAAAAGAAAAAAAAAACATTAAAAAATACACCACATGGAAAATAGAAGGCCAGGGTGGAGGGGAAATGTCCAGTTTGTTACATTCTTATCAGGAAACCACATGTGTACATATTCTCCCCAAATTTCAAAATAATTTATGAAATATTTTAACAGAAAGAGCTGGTGTCTGAAAAATAAAGACAAAGTTCTCAACCTAACCACCTTTTGTGGTTGTAACCTAGCATGGTCAGAGGACAAAGATAACGTTTCAATTGGATTAGTCCGGTAATTTTTTTTTTTTTGAGTAGCAAAAATAAAATTGCATTTTTAATCATTATCTAGAAAACAGAAGTGATTGTTGCGAAAACATGACAAGATTCCTAATAAGCAGTGACATCTGTTGAGTTTCATTGCAACCAATACTTAAGCAACATTCAGTGTGACCATATTCTAAAACTAGGCTTTTTTACCTCCTTTTGTTTATCTTCAAATTATTTTTTTTTATTATGATTGACATTTTTGAGATTTCAGATAACATTTAAAACAATATGAATATTTCATATATATATATGAAATTTTTGAGAATTGAGATAACATATTTCTGCAATATGCATATTTTCACATATATATGAATCTTATTATGAATGTTATATGAATATCTGCAATATAAATTTTATATGAATATTTGCTTTCACACCAGGTATTTCTAAAAATTGGTATAATTTAAAAAATAATTACTTTTTAAATTATTAATTTTTACCAAAAAATAAATAAATAATATTTATCATAATTTATGTGATTAAACGTCCTTTCGTATTCAAAGATTTGATGGAATCTCATTAACGTTTCACTTAGCAAAGTATCCAGTATTGGTTTAAAAATTTGTATCAAGAAAAGTGGTGAAAGTTAGTTCTTAAAAAAATTCAAAAATCAAAGTAAATTTTTGTCATGAAAATTGAAACTCGAAACACTGTATAATCCCCGAGAGAAAAAATTTTATTCTTAACATGATAAAAGGTAATTCAATTATTTGAAAATTTTTGAAAATTACATTTGATGTTGAATCAAAATTTTTACAGCTGATAGGTCCGAAAGTTATATTTTATTTAATAAGCTTGTGTTTTTCTATTTTAAAACTTAGAACTTATCATAAAAAAAAATCTCGTATCTTTTTAAATATCAGGTATTCAAATGAAGCTTTACATTATAAATATGATATTAAAATTATTAACTTCATGACGAAACTTATTTATTGCCTTTTTATTTTATTAAAATATAGTTTTGATAAAAAAATTTAAATCATGAATTAAAATATAGTTTTGTATTGCATCAAATAAAATCATTTACTTTAACAATAAATTCATTCGTTTCAATCAATCATTCAAGGAATCATTTAAAGTTTCCATTTTTTAATAATTCTATTAAAGTTTGGAAAACTTTCTTACAAGCACTCAGCAATGAAATTAGGTTAGTTTCGCTATCAACATTTTTGTATTGCATTATTATTCGATGCAAAGATAAAAGCAATATTTAAGTAATGGATTATAAATTTATTTTTATTTATTTATTTAAAAAAAATTATCACGAATTTGTAATTATTTAAATTATTAATTAGTTTTACAATAGAATAAATTTTCAGTTCTTCAGTTATTTATTTAAAAAAACTCAACATTATTGGGCAAAAATAATTTAGCATTATGCAAAAACATTGTTATAAAAGGAATTGAGTAGCCTCATAATATTAAATTATTTCTAGCCCAAACTTCATTCTTACTGTTGGCATTTCAAAAATCATTAACAATCATTTAACTTACAAGTTCTGTCAAAGCAGGCTAATAAATTGCTGTAATGCGATTCGTTTATCTGATATATTTATTTGTGAATCACGTAAGTATGTCAATTTCATCAAGCACTTATACTAGCTATAATATAACGTTTATATAACGTTTTTACGTACGTTACTTTCAGAGTCAATTACCAGGAAAAAAATGTTCAATTTTATAAATATTGTATTTAAATCACTACTTACCCAGATGCAAAATAAACATGTTACAAGAACGAAAAAGAGCAGTTTCATATTTTATGGTTACTGGCAAACTGTCTCTACAAAAAAAGGGTGTAAACTTGTTAATATATTTTCCTTAAAACTTTTCCTCTATTATATCTTATATAAAATCTAAGTATAAACTTGATATTTGTATGCAAATGATTTAGCGGAAATCATGAAAAAATGATGTATCATTTTTTATTATTAGGCATGTTTATCATTAATATAACATTATATTTTTATTATCCAGAATTTTACAGATCGAGAATAATTAGCAAAGAAAAACTATGCATTTTATCCGTTTTACTGATGATGGAAAGATATAAAATAAGGATAAGGAACACTCTTGTCAAATTATCGACAAAAATATACTTCGTAATAGTATTTAACAACACATCACATAGCTTACAAGAAAAATGTTTTGTTTCTTCATCTAGAGTGATGATCAGTATAAGCGGCAAAACAGTTTATAAGGTTAAAACGAGTCCCAAGAGTTCTAGCAGTTTTTGGTGTTCAAATTAGATAGGCAAAACACATTTGATGATCTTCGATAAACGAAGATCAAGATATGCAAAGATATCATAAATGAGTATGAAATCAATGATATTCATCACGATATTCTTCTCGAAATAAGTTTAAAATTACTAAAAGTAATTTTACTTTTTTAACTGCGTTTAGTAATCCTCTGGAGTCCGGTAAAAGCAAAATTTCTCACACGTTTGGGTTGTATAAATAAAATATAAAAGTATGGATATGAATCTAGTGAAAATGTTTAACATCAAATTCATTGTTATTGATTATTTTTTATGTAACCTGAAAAGTTAACAAAAAATTTGTATTTTTTTGTGCAACAAAAATCCAAATATTCACCTTTCATTAAGAAAAATGGTTATAAATTAACTAAAGGAATTGATATTCAAATTTCCTTAAAATAAAAAAAATTATTTCTTAATTCTAAATTAATAAAAATACTTCTTTGATTCATCCTTTATCTTTTTTGCCTTCTTTTCCTGTTGTGCTCATATAACGAGCAAAAGATGTCTGAATATCTTTTTTTCCCATTTATATCGATGTTTTTATTCATTTTTGAGGAATTATCTTCATATAATCAATTAATAAAAATACTTCTTTGATTCATCCTCTATCTTTTCTGTTTTCCTTTCCTGTTGTGCTCATATGACGAGCAAAAGATGTCTGACTATCTTTTTTTCCTAATCATATCGATTTTTTTATTTATTTTTGAGGAATTATTTTCATATAATCAATTAATAAAAATACTTCTTTGATTCATCCTCTATCTTTTCTGTTTTCCTTTCCTGTTGTGCTCATATGACGAGCAAAAGATGTCTATCTTTTGAGGAATTATTTTCATATAATCAATTAATAAAAATACTTCTTTGATTCATCCTTTATCTTTTCTGTTTTCCTTTCCTGTTGTGCTCATATGACGAGCAAAAGATGTCTGACTATCTTCTTTCCCTATTCATATTAATGTTTTTATTCATTTTTGAGGAATTATTTTCATATAATGAATTAATAAAAATACTTCTTTGATTCATCCTTTATCTTTTCTGCGTTCCTCTCCTGTTGTGCTCATGTGACGAGCAAAAGATGTCTGAATATCTTTTTTTCCCAATCATATCGATTTTTTTATTTATTTTTGAGGAATTATTTTCATATAATCATAGGTTTACGTGCGAAATTTAAATTTTCTTGTTAAAGTCAACTTGTTTTTTTTTAACTTTAATTGACTAAATGATATCCTGATAATGATTGCTTTTTAATAAACTGCGACTAAGAAAGGGTTATTTGATTTAAGCGTGATTTTTTTGGCGAACATATTTTTTTGGTATTTCATGATGAACGTGCTTCAGGAGTGTAGCTGACTCTGTTTCTGCACTTTTGTTTTGAATTTATAGACCTTCATCAATCTACTGTCTGGAATTTTAAGACATTTTAGAGATCCAAAAGTATTAATGTATAAATTTATCCTAAGTAAGTCATATCTTTACCTTCTCAAATTTTAAATATTTTGATGATTTAGGGGGAGTCTGGGATACGACAAGTGTATTATATCTTTTTAGCAATCCGTGTCATCGCCTTATGAGCACGCGTCAGACTCAACTTAATACAACTAATGACGATGCACTACTGACAGTATAGTATACTACTACTGGTATATGGTAATTGGGACAGTTTTGATAAGAAATTCTACAACGTGTTTCCCGTACTTTCAGAAAATTATTTTTCAGTGGTAGCAAAGATAATGCATTAATATATTAATGAATTAGAATTTCAAGAAAATTTGTTTCTTCTTTACTCATAAATATTTTAAGAGTAAATTAAAGGTCAGATACAGAAATGGCCATTATCCAAAAACCTTGTCAAGTTCTAATAAAAATTCTATTTTATTTTTTTTTAAATTTGTCTTTAGTTGTCTGTCACTGACAAATGAATTTTTCACCAAACTTAAATTTTGAAGGGTTATGTAATAAGTACCAAATATACTAATATAGGTATAAAATATCTTATTGATAGATTTGGTAATTATTACGGTCGACTAATACTAAGCAGTTTTGAAACTGATACTTCGGAAATAAGTTGTTAAAGGCACCTCAAAAGGGATTCGTACCAGAGAAAATTATTTGATAGGGCAATAGTATCATGCCAAGTGATGCTAAATACATTTTAATTTATTCTAATGAGATGAACTACAGAAGACGAGATTTGTTTTCTACGTAAAGCTACCAAAAAGGGAAACAAATAATATTTAACAACAAAATTTAACTTGTTTTAGCTACATTTATTGAAACATTTAGTGGAACAACCAGGTAAGTGGCATTTTCAGAACAAAAAAAAAATTTCCTCAGAACTATTTTATTAAAAATTGACGATGAAAAAGATCGGAGGAAACTTTCAGAAGGTGACCCTCATAATTCTTTGCTTTATTTTATTTACCATTGCCTAATATTAAAAATGGATGTGATTAGTTATGTTAGATTTAGGTGAAAACTAAAATAGTTCTGTTACATTCAACATACCCATATTGATACACCCCTTATTGTTATTTTCTCTGATTCATTAATTCCCTTTAATTTACCCCCCTTCTTCCCCCCGCAGAATGACTTTGCTTCAATTTTATAATTTGCATCCCTAAGAAATTTTGCTTACAGAAAAAGTTTGAACAGAAAAACCTATCTTCTCAAATTTTTTTCCCTTCTGCATGAGGACCTTATTCCTAAATTTCAAGTAAAATTCCTACTTTAGAAAACAAATATATAAATGAATTGGGATATATGGATTTTAAAATTGAAGTGGATAAATAATAATAGATAGTAATAGATAATGTATCAAAGAGGCGGTGTGAAAGAAAATCTTTCATTATTTTAAAAGATTAATCACACTTACATACAGGTAATTAACCAATTGTTTTGGAGAAAATATTAATGCGCAAGTTCAACTTCCCATCCCTTAAAATCATTCATATATCGAGACACGAATCCTATTTTCCATCTGGCGCAATCAACGCCATTTAAACGCCATTACGTCTCCTAAAATTATCCATCTTCTTGAAGGTCAACTTACAGTTTATCAACGTTAGAAATAATGAATTTCTTAGGCAACTTTTCTCCTAGCAAAACAGTCTTGATAGAGAAAATAAATCTTACTCAAGTTTATAATACAGAAAGATAGAAACAGCTGCTTTTTCAAGATCAAACCAAGGACATTGATATTTTCAATTCGATGCAAATTCGATTGGTCACAGATTTTCTAAAAGATAATATTTTCGTGCAATATTAAATGCATCGAATGATATTCAATGTGTTTTCAACTTAAAAAATATAAAAGATTTTCCAGAAATAATTATCGAAACTCTAATTATTATAAGTATTTAAATATGCGTTATCTTGTTTTTCCTATGATTTTTACTTTAACTCAAAATTTATTACTATTTGGAATAAAATTACGAAACTTTTTCTCAATGTTAAGTTAGAACTTTTTAAAGTTTTCTTTCTCATTTTAATGACTTTTTCGTGAAAATTATAAAAAAAAATCATTTTAATTTGATTTTTAAAAATTTTTCACGTGAGTTAAGAGTTATTAGTTTAACAAGAATTTTTAACTGAAGAATGTTTAATTTTAAATTATCAGACAAAAAATAATCTTAAAATGTTTCATTTTGCAATACACTCAGTTCATTTTTCAGTTGTCTTAATAATATAGGAAGTTGCGACTGGTATAGCCTTTGATTTGGTATATTTTAACTGCATTGAAAGTAACGATAATGGATACATTTTAAATTTGTTGATATTTTAGAAACATTTTTTAATTTTTTGTTTGATTTAAATCAAATTTCGTTTTTTTTTCGCAACCAAAACTATTTTTAAACCTACAATTTAAGCGAGTGGAAGTTAAAGCTAAACTTAAAAATTCAATATAAACTTTTATCACGGATCGACGCAATTGAAATTGATTAGACATTAAACAATTAGCTTTTTATAAGCAGATGTAACTTCGGAATTTTGCATCGGTAATTTTATGGTTCAATGTTAATTTTGAGATAGTAGTTTTTTTATGATTTAGTATTGAAATAAACCGCAAAATATGCAATTGAAGAACATTCATCTCAGATTAAAAATTAACTATTAATCATGCAACTGTAAAAAAAGAAAAAAGAAAACTCTTGACAACGTCTATTTTCTTCTAGTATAATACTCGCAATAACATTTCGCCTGTTTCTGCAGAAATATTATTTAAGACAACTTAAATATAAATAAATATACAATACACCCAATTCCTTTAATGTTATGGTTTGAACTTAAAAAATATAATTTATTGGAATTTACCGATGATTTCTTTTGATATTTAAAATTTAAAAATTTCTTAGTTGTAGTCAAATAGCATAGATCAATGATTGACTCTGAAACAATGTAAAGCCATAAAAATTTAAAAAAATGTAGTTTTTCTTGTTTTAACTACTGTTTTAATTTTAAAAGTTTATAATAAAATAAAATTTTAAGCTATACATATTTCTCACTACAAATATGCATAGTTATTATTCATTCTTCTACCCATTTTTGAAAAAAAACATGAAATGCATTGAGGA